ACAGGTCCAAGGAAATGTGACCTACACTATACACTCTACCTCTGCAGGAGATTTAGAATTAGAATTCAAAGATGCTAATTGTCCTGAACTATCCAACACTGAGGGCTTATATGAACCGGCTTGGGCATTTTGACCATGTGCTATGATAATGCAGAGAAAAATCCCTTTGGGAGACAAGAAAGAACAAAACAGGTATGTAAACTGGCTTCTGAGTTTACTTCATGAGATCCACGAGACACTCCTATGTTAACAGCCTTAATAAAAGCAGCTGAAAGACAGGCATGACAGTACATGCTGTAATCCCAGGCTCAGGAGGCTGAGGCAAGATCATGAGTTTGAAGCCAGCCTGGACTGCATAGTACACCCCTGTCTCAGAAAAAAAGTAAAAAAAAGAAAGAAAGAAAGAAAGAAAAGAAGAAAGAGTAAAACTTGTAACTATAACTTGCATCTTGCCAAATACTCTTTTGTTTGTTTCTGTCAATAGTAACCATATTCAGTGCTATTTGATAAAATGGGTAATAAAATGATGGTAAATAAAAGAAAACTTTAAGTATGAAATACAGTTTCAAAATGAAAAGTACTTTTTGATGTGGTTTCCCCAACTTTTACTTTCAAAATTCGCATGAAAATTCTAAAAAACTAGGATTAAAGCAACATATTTTAGAGGCGTTTCTTAAGTTCCTTTTGCTGTCCATCCATTTATTAAGAAGTCACACCTACCTTATACCAGGTTGTTCTAGACCTAGGAAGTATGGTGGTGAACAAACAGATAAAAGTCCCTGATTTTCATGACTTTCTATTGTAGTGAAAGACAGCAGACTGCAAGCAAGACAAAGGGACACAACACCAGGATGTACACAGAGGAGCACGGTAAACACAAAGGCGATGATGGAGCTCTCAGGAAAGACTTACTGGAAGAGCCAATGTTTGAACAGACACAAGCGAGTGGGTCCTGGTGATATCTGGAAGAATGTTCCAGACTGGGTAAACTATGCAGACTCCCTGCGACAGGCAAGTTTTGATATCCCAGGCACAGTAAGGAAGATGACGAGGCTGCAGGTGTGTAACTGGGAGAATAAATGTGAGGAGATGTCTGACAGCTTATTAGTGGCCAGGTATTGTCGAATGTTTAAAGGCCACATTTTGGTGGTGGTGTTATTTGAAATAGGTTTCCTTGTAACTTCAGTTGGCTTCGAATTCACTCATATGTATAGTCCTCTGGTCTCCATCTCAGGATCCTCTTACCTTAGTCTTCTGACTGCTGGGATTGCAGGACTGTATCATCATATTTAACTGAAGTAACACACACACACACACACACACACACACACACACGAACACACACACATAGACACACACGAACACACACACACACACATGAACACACACACATAGACACACACGAACACACACACATAGACACACACACACGAACACACACACATAGACACACACACACGCGCACACACACGCACGCACACACAGTGTTGTTCACAATGAGATGGAAATATCTCATAAAAAGAAATCCTTCTTGTCTAAATTGGGTTTAGGATCAATACATGAACCACCTGCCAAGTATTGGATGGCCTGTATTCTGTTGTCTGTATGATGCCCACCAATATACCTATATGTACAATCACAGGCTGTGTCCTAGCTAGTTTTGCTTGTCAAGTTAACACAAGCTAGAGTTATTAGGGAATAGGCATCTTAATTGAAGAAATGCCTCCATCCAGATTGCCTGGAGACATGTAGGGCATAGATCACTTTGGGTGGCACCACCCCTGGACAGGTGGTCCTGGGTTGTATAAGAAAGCAGACTGAATAAGTCATGGAGAGAAAGCCAATAAGCAGCACTCCTCCATGATCTCTGCATCAGGTCCTGCCTCCATGAGCTGCCCTGCTTGAGTTCCTGTCCTGACTTCCTTTGGTGATGAACAGTGGAAATGTAAGCTGAATAAATCCTTTCCTCCCTAATTTGCTTTAGTTATGGTGTTTCAACACAGCAATAGTAACCCTAGCTAAAACAATGTCCAATGTGGGGTGGAGGGACACCAAAGGCCCAGAGAAATGAGAATACCTTCAAAGAGTCAACAACTGAAGCATGGATTAAATAAAAAAGAAATATACAGAAAGCAGCATTTTTAACCGCTAAGCTATCTTTCCAGCCCGAAAGCAGTGTTCTAATGCAAAAAGACTTTAGAATGGTTTTGATATTTTTTTATTTATATTAAAATGTAGAAGCAGAGGTAGAATCCCTATCAAGGGCAGTAGAGTAGAGCCCACCATTTTAGACACTGAAACTAATGTCATAAAAGACAAAGTCAGGACCCACAGGCTAAATACATATGATACAGATGAAAACTACAAATTACTGGTTGAGGTTATTGAAGATTTTAGACTTCTGTAGAAGAGTCTGGAATAACTACTACAACAAGTTTCAATTTTAAAAATTTATTTTTATATTTAATGTGGTGTGTGTGTGTGTTTGTGTGTGTGTGTGTGTGTGCGCACGCCCTTGGAGATCAGAAGAGGGTGTATCCCCTGGAGCTGGAGTTACAGTGGTTGTGAGCTGCCTGACATGGGTTCTGGGAATCAAATTTTGGTTTTCTGCAGGAATGGCAAGTGCTCTTCACTGTAAACTTCTCTCCAGCATCTGACATTTCCACCTAAAAAGTGATAGCTAGTTATACTTCAGTAATCACTTTGATAGTCTTGAAAGATGTACTATTCTGAGCCGGGCGTTGGTGGCGCACGCCTTTAATCCCAGCACTCGGGCGGCAGAGGCAGGCGGATCTCTGTGAGTTCGAGGCCAGGCTGGACCGACAGCCTCCAAAACAGAGAAACCCTGTCTCATAAAAACCAAAAAAAAAAAAAAAAAAAAAAAGAAAGAAAGATGTACTATTCTGGAGATCATTGAAAGTCTGGGAATATAAGCATTGGATGATGAGCCAGAAGACCAGCTATTTATGAGTAAACAAAGATCTGGTTGAGCCCAGTTCTCCATCAAGAAATGTCAGAAGAAGACACACTATTCCTGAAATTTTTTGAAGAAAAAGATTGTGTGAAGGTAACACATGATGACTCATGTGTCCACAGGCACAAAAACAGACCACTAACACATTTGGAGATATTGTTTGAAGACTTGAATCAGGCCCTCTACAATTGTGAGATAGTAATCACTATCTCTTAGAGGCCAAGAAGATGGGTCAACAAGCAAAGGCTCTTGCTTCCAAGCCTAATGACCTGAGTTCAATCCTTGGAACCCACATGGTGGAAGGAGAGAACTGACCCTCACACACACACACAGACACATGCATACACACACATACATAAGTAGATGTAAACATAAAAATATTTCTAATTATTTTGAATAAAGGAAACTAAGACATAGAAGTAGGTTCTTGTCCAAGGCATGGCTAATGGGTAATAGGATGCAAAATTCTAAGTCAGCAAATGTAGTCTACGGCTAAGTGCCAGAAGTTCTTTTCTTGACTCTAGGTGTCAAAGAGAGGAGTTTCACTTAATACCTTTTCTCAGATTTAGGATTGTTGGTTTTTACAGGCATTTTCAGAAGCAGATTCATTTCCTAGAAGCATTTCTGTCTGTGTTGTATTTACCATTCGAGATACATACAGTTATTTAGCTGTACATTTCTTGCACAAGGGACAAGATTCCACTTGGCATCTTGTTTAAATGACTGGGTTGCTTGGATTTAGCTTGTGTTTCCTTCTACAGATGATATATAAATGATAACAGCTGATTTAAAAAGTCTGCTAGAACTTTCTTCAGGCTGTGCTTCCTGTAGATGAACTGGTAAGTCATAAAGATGTATGAAAATGAGCTAGGACAGTTCAAAATTAGTAGAAGTCTGGGTGCAGTTGGTTGGAGGGGTGTTTTAGAAGGAAACCAGAGAATCATATTATTTTATAAATGTGTCACATGTTGGTAGTAATATTTCAAAGTAAGATATTTAAAACATGTCTTGAGTAGTATTAGAAATGATCTCTTCAGGAGATGGCTCTTTCAGAGCACTGACTGCTCTTCCAGAGGACTGGGATGGATTCCCAGTACCCATGAGGTGGCTCAGTACTGTCTGTAATTCCAGGGAATCTGGCCTCCACTGGCACTTCATGAAAATGGTTCAAAGCCACACATGATGGCAAAACACCCATATGCATAAAATAAAAATAAATACATCTAACAGAAACCATTAAAGATATTTTAAGCAGCTTCATTTAAGTGTGACATTCATGTCTACCTTTAACACATGAGCTGGGTTAAGAACCCGGTTAAGAGCCTTCGTCTCCACCGTTTCCTTGGGCAAGTGACTTTCCTCCTCTCTTTTCCTATCTCTTCCTCCCACTCCACCATCACCTTCCTCCTTTCCTCTCTCAGCAGAGTCTCATACAGCTCTTGATGGACAGCTGAGGATGACCTTGAACTTCTGGTCTTCCCGTTCTCACCTCGCAAGTGCTAGAATTACAGACCCATGCAGCAGGGCTGTGACTTCACCTCCACCAAGCAGCTTCCCTCCTTAGAAAAACGGAGATAATTCCCACCATAAGGGTAACTGTAAGAATCACATTCCTACTGTAAAAGGCACTAGACACATCTGGGTTTTTTGTTGTTGTTTTTATCGTAAGTATAATTAGAGGATAACAGCTGTAACTGCTACTGTGGGCTCGAGTAGGGGATTAGACAGCCTTTAAGGGATCAGAAACGTTTGGTGAATGAAAGCTCAAGCAACTCACAGCACAGCCTCTTTTGTCTCCTTTAAATTACTCACCTAAGCACTGAGATCTCAGCTACCACAGTTGTCACTCCCATCACCCATTAATCTGTCAAGTGGTGATGAGCCTCAAACGCCAGGTATACCTCCAAGCAAGGACATGGACTGTGAACTGGAAACCTTAGAGGCGTGACAACTGCCCTTCGATCCACCCCCCCCCCCAACACACCCATCACCTGCCTGTTTAAATGGTGCCTCGCCGCCGCTGTCACTTAATAAAAGTTGCGCAGAGAGCGCGCTGTGGATTCGCTGGACGCAGCGGGAGGCTCCAGATCTCATCCGCCCCAAAGTCTGTTGGTGCCTAGGCAGTCACAGTTCGGGCCACTCTGGTCCTGCACCTGGTGAGCGCTCCTCGCCGCCGTGCAGACTTCCCCAGGTCCCAGATTGCCAGGGACGCAGCTGGCGACAGGGGGCTCCCCCACCGGGTGGGGGTAGCTAGGCTCCCACCTCCACCAGGATCTACACCTGCTGGACGTACCTGGTCTCCACAGACGCCACGCCAGCCGCAACAGGGAGAAAGAAGCTAGCGCGGCCGGAGGCTAAAGCCAGCGACCTGTGCCGAGCAAGGCACCACCGTTCACTCTGGGCGGGCTCAGGTCACCGCGGGAGGCCATGGAGGAGTCGCGGGCCATTGGCAGCTTTGTGGTGTGGGACTACTTGGTGTTTGCAGGCATGCTGCTCATCTCGGCCTCCATCGGCATCTACTATGCCTTCGCTGGGGGCGGCCAGCAGACCTCCAAGGACTTTCTGATGGGTGGCCGCAGTATGACCGCAGTGCCCGTGGCTCTGTCCCTCACTGCCAGCTTCATGTCCGCTGTCACTGTCCTGGGCACCCCTGCTGAGGTCTACCGTTTTGGGGCAATATTCAGCATCTTTAGCATCACCTACTTTTTAGTGGTGGTCATCAGCGCAGAGGTCTTCCTTCCGGTGTTTTATAGACTGGGGATCACCAGCACCTACGAGGTAAGAGGTGGAGGAAGAGAGGGAAGGCTTGCTTGCATTTTCAAGCTCCTGAAGGAACTTTCTGGGGGCAAGCAGTTTCTGCCATATGGGAATCTCTTCCTGTGGGTGCGTCTCGGACCCCTAACCCCCCATTGAGACATGTATCTTCTAAGGGGGACAAATCCTTGAGACTGAGTTTTCTGAGCTGAGATCCAAAGCCAACTGAGTGGAATGGACGAGTTACTTCCTCAAGTCTTTCCAAAAACGTGTGTGTGTGTGTGTGTGTGTGTGTGTGTGTGTGTGTGTGTGTGTATGTGTGTTGGAAACGCTAAGCTAGTCCAGTCTCAGATCCTCTCTCTGGAAGCTGGAGAAGAATTTGTCCACCTGAGTGGTTAAGAAGTAGCTCTTGTTCCAGAGCTTGCCTTGAGACCGAATTCCACCGAATCCACTTGTGAATGACCTTGGGCCGTTAATTAACCTCTTGTACTGATGTCTTCTTCTCAAGGAGAAAATGGTACTACCAACCACATCCAATTGTGGAGAGAATTAAATGAACTGATGCAAGGTGTTCCGTTTAGAATAGAGCCTAGGCAGAGTAGATGCTGGGGTCGAGTGTAATTACTGGGTTGGAGGTTATCCTGAGATGATTAGAAAAATGCCACAGCGAGCTTCTTAAACATCTCGGCTGCTTTCCTATGGGGAAAAAGGAGACCCACATTTCATCTGTTGTCGCCTTCCTCTGGATGTCTTCTTAAAGTTGCTCCCAGAAAAGGGATTTTCAAAGATGAAGAGCATTTGGTTTGGTTTACAGAGATGTCAAAGGTGTTATGTGCCTGTGCCCCTGTTAAAAAGCTCAGTCTAGAGGGTGAAGGGGTGGAGGGTGTCCTTCACCCAGGCCTCTACCTACAGGCTTCACAGACAAGCTCTCACTGTGCTAGGCCATCGGCCTTAGGGTTCAGCGTCCCCTCAGGTCTGGGGTCTGTGACCAGTTTCCCTGAAGCTCAGGATCACTGGGAGGTGGTTTCATAGTGACTTGGATGGCATGACAAGAGTGATGATAAACTGCATCTGTATCCTAGTGCTGTCACCGAGTCTACGCATGTCCCGGGCGGCATTGTCTTCTAACCGTGTCACTGCTTTTATGGAAACTTAGTCTTTCCCTGTTGGTGAGGGGAGGTGACAAACTGGCTGTCCCAGGTCAAGTTCAGCTTTCATTGCCATTTTATTCTGTTCTTCAAACATTTATAAGAAGCCCCGATTATTTTGTTTAATAAAAAATGTTAACTTAAGGATTTAATGAAGAGGAAGAGTCAAATAAGAATTTAAATGTCTTTTGAAAACTCAGAAGGCTGATGAAATTGTGTCACATTTCCTGTGGCCACTGGGTCTCCAGCAATAACCACACTCTTGCTCTGTTAATGCCTATACCCAGGCTTTTCACGCCTGACCGCCCACTTTCTCATGGCAGAGAAATCCTTACCTACATACGTGTTCTTATGGAAATTGCACATGGAAAATAACCAGCGCTGAAGGGGCCCTTGTTCAGTGAGTTATATGACAGAACACATTTCTTAGTGGCTGTGAGGAATATTCCAGCATCTTCAGATATGTGAACACCTGGCTTCTGTCCTCACGTGTGTTACCAGGTGGGCTGTGCTGACACTGATGTCTGTGAGCTCTGACATGTAGTTAACCAACTCCAAAACTTAGCAAACAGTTTGAATAACCTGGCAAGAGGACTCCAGCCCTGCCAGGGGAACTGTGCTCTGAGAATCCATAACCCATGCCTCTTCAGAGCTGCAACGCGAACTCAACCAGAAAGGGAAGTCTCCTATGTTTCCAGTGACAGAAGCTGAGTTAGTAAGGGTTCTGGCTAAAAATGACAAAAAGCCAATATTGATTGACTGTTTAGTTCATGCCGGCCACCAGGCTGAATGTTTTACACGTATTATCTGACTCAACACCCAACAAAATTCTTATAAGTGTATGCTTACAGCCCTGCTTTCTGGATGGAAAGCCTCAGAGCAGGTTAAGCCAGTGAGAGAGGGGGAAGGAATGAGGAGCCATGCCAAGCAACTTACTGACTGCCTCTGAGGGCTCTGGTGAGTGGTTATAACCCCAAGCAGGGCTAATGCCAGCTCAAAGGGAACCAGGAAGTCACGGAGGATCCTTGAACTTAACTGCATGTTGTACTTGTTCAGTTAGGAGTGCGAGGTGTCAGAGAGAAGGGAATTGAGCAGCGTTGTTGTGCCTGCTAGTTTAATTAGTCACAGCAGAGAATTTCTTGGGGGAATTTCTTTGTGGCTCCCCTGAGGATACCTATACAGAGTTGTCTAATACTGAGTAATGGTCATCTTCACATTCTTGCTCAAATATGAACTATCTCCATGTTCTATCTCTATAGTCCAATTTGTTGGGCCACAAATATTTTTACTTTATCATTGCTGCCAAAATATAGGTCTAATAGGTGTTTACCAATGTCCAGACCCACAGATTGGCAGGAAGCCTATTCCAGGGATCTGGTGCAATTAATAATGTCTTCAAAATCATTTAGACTTTACTATTATTTTTAGTTACTTTATTTATGAATATCAGTGGAAGCCTTTGCATCTCTAAGTTATTCTGAATTCCAAAGACTATGAAAGTTCTTTGTTCACTGTAGGTATCTATTGTTCCATAGTTTTGCTTGTAAATTCTAGATCTGTTCTCTAAGTCTATTGCAATAGGACAGGGTTTCTTCTTAGGTCCCACTGTTTTTCCTTTGAAGGACCCATGGCTTCTTGGTTCTGTCTGCAGTTGGTTTTATGTAAGTGTAAACATATTTGTCAGTTAATTTTTGGAACAATTTTAAATGTAAAAAATTTCAAATTATTTGGTTCAACTTGCTCCTTTTTTTCTGCCATAGCCTCTCCTTTTAAATTCTTAAAACAATCTTATTTTACATATCAACCATTCCCTCTCCCTCCTTTCCTTCTACTCCTCCTACCATCTCTCTACACTGACCCCCATCCACTCCTCAGAGAGGGTGAGGCCTCCCATGGGGAATCATTAAAGACGGTCACATCATTTAGGGCAGATCCAAGGCCCTCCCCTTCGTATCTAGGCTGAACAATGTATCCCTTTATAGGCAACGGGCTCCAAAAAGCCAGTTCATACACTAGGGATAATTACTGGTACCATTGCCAGAATCCTCATAAGCTGCCAAAGCTCCCCAACTGTCACTCACATTCAGGAGACCCTAGTCCTTAAGCTTTGTGTATTCTCCAGCAATTGCATGCATGGACCTAGAAAAAGACTTCTCTATCTATTCATGTCCACTCATGTATACTACAGATTTACTAAAAAAAAGTTCTTCAAAAATAACACCACTCTGTTTCTAGCTTTCAGAAACTTCTCCACTCTCCAAAATGTCTTCCAAAATACCTTAACATGTTTTTGATTTAATTCACAAGGTCCATGGATTTTTGATTCCACTCTAGTCTTAGCATCTTACTTTTGGACAGTTTACATCTCCTTATCAATTTATATTATTGAATACTGTCCCTTGCAAAATAAAAGGGAAAGAATTGCTTGGTTGATCCTCATTTTAAACACTAGAAGCAGAGAGAGGGAGAGAGGGAGAGAGAGAGAGAGAGAGAGAGAGAGAGAGAGAGAGAGAGAGAGAGAGAGAGAGAGAGAGAGAGTGATGGACTGGTCAAGAGCTGAGACTCTGCTGCAAATGCCTTGCACTGTGTTGGGCATTTGTCATCCTTCAGTTGTTTTTGAAGGTCTTATTGTCTGTGGCCCCATATACCTACTGCATCTCAAACTCATTGTTAGATTATTTATTTATCTGTGTGGTTGTATACACAGGTTTCTAGGTTTTTGTGTTACATTCCTGACAACAATTAGGTTACAAGCTTGGTCCTTATCTCTAACACAGTGCCTGCTTCACAATGTGCACAGCAAGTACACCAGATGTTTTAGTTGTGACTATGGAGCAAAAACAGCCATATGTCTTTCCATTTGATGATTAACTAATGCCACTATCTCCTCTTCCTCATGCTTCTCTGTCTCCTCCTCTTTTATACAGCAAACCTGCTAGGCTGTGACTTCTTTCTACATGTACTAATAATACTCAAATTAAATAGTATCTTGGACTTCAGCTCTGAAATTCTGATTCCAGTTCTGTAATATAATATTATACATTATACAACACAGGAAATAAACAGATCATATTATAAGCTATAGCAGATTTCAGGGAGAGTTAGAAAAAATTGGCAAGATCTTGGCTCTGAACAGAAGATTACTTGACACTCAAGAGACTGAAGCAGAAGGATGGGAAATTTGAGGCCAGTCTGGACTACATAGTGAAACTTCATTTTAAGAGCAAAAGCAAAAGCAAGCCAACAAACTGATATGGCTAACAACAAATTGTGGCATATACTTGTAATTCATGTGTAAAGGGCAGGAGAAACAGAAGAAGACCAGCCTGGTCTACACAGTAAGACCTTGTCTCAGAGACAGAACAAAACAAAACAAAGCAATACAGAAGACTTGACCTGGGTGACTTATGTTTTACACACACACACACACACACACACACACACACACACACACACACACGTCCACGACTGCAGAGGAAGGAGCTTGAAGGTAGTTCACACAACAGTGTGGGAGGTTGAGTAGACAGATCCTGGAAATTACAGAGCTTCAACAGCTTCTTTAGTTCTTAAGGTTAGAATCAGTCTGTGTCAATCCAATCCCTTCGCAGGTTAGCAGCTTCCATTGGGGGGAGAAGGTGATTGGGTGTACAGGGGTCCTGCTCAGAAGAGTCAGGGTAGCTGATGCAGATTTCCACTCAGAAATAGAAAAAGGTTGATTTCTCAATTGAAACAAAGGGAGCGTAGAGTGGTCATGAAGAGGGAAGCAACAACAGATTGCATATTCTTTAAAGAAAAAGGCTAGACTATAATTCCATTTATGTGATCAATTTTCCAATTTTTCCAGACCAAACCAGGGAGGGGGGTGAAGAACAGGTTGGTGACCAATAGGGGCACCACGAGGGAGTTTCCATGTAGTGATTGTGTAAGAGAATTAGAAAAATCTTATGTATATTAAACGCCATTTTTATAAAGCATCAATGCTGTTATTTGTAAGTAAAAACATTTTAGTAAAACAAAACACAGAATAAATTATGACATTTCTTTAAACATGTCACCCTTTATTTATAGAGCTGATTTTAAATGTGTTTAGAACATTTACACCACTGTTTTTCATTTTTTCGGCAACAGTATTTGGAACTTCGATTCAATCGATTAATTCGTCTCTGTGGGACAGTCCTCTTCATAGTTCAAACAGTAAGTACTTCTCCATTAATTTACTTTCTCTTCTGTCCTCTGAAATATTTTTTGTCCTTGGCCCAGCTTAGCTTGGGAAATACATGGAAGATAAAATAGAGATGATTACAAAAAGAGGAAATGAAAAGGAAACAAAACAAAAGAAAACAAAACAAAAACATATTTGTCATCACAAAGAATGAAACCTGAAGATCCTCAGACTGTGTTAGTTAAGACGCTACTTCCTGGAAAAACAACGGTTTAAGTGAATTTAAATACTGTATTGGTCAAGGAATGGTTATGGAGCTTTAGGAAACTACCCTTTCTTACCTTCCCCATTCTGGACCAAAATGACAGTGAGTGTATTATTTAAATGGCAGAAGTATTTGAGGGATATACCTATATATCTATATATCTATCTATATCTAACATATATCTCTATATACTCTGAGAGGAAGACTTTAAGGAACAATTTTGTGTAAAAATTTATCTTAAAAATGAATTGGCATTCTTATAAACTTGAGCTCTTGAACCCGATTGGAGCAGTACAGTTAGTATAAAGGAGAATCCCGAACTCTAGAAGACATTTTGAAGACACATGTACAAAGAAGTCATTCAAGAATATGCAAATGTAGACATATTGATGAGCATGAATGGAAAGCAAAGGTTTACCAAGTGGCTGGTACAGATACGCATCTCTGTATTGATGCTTCTGTAGAAGGTTGCTGGAGGGTTTTCACGATCATTGTCACATCATTTATCTCTCTCTCCCTCCATGCTGAGCTTTTAGGTTTGGCTTTGGTAAGGGAGCTTGACACTGTGCATTTCTCCACTCAAAAGCTGCTTGAGCTTCTGCTCCAGAGAGATGTGAGACAGGGTGCTTTCTCCCATGTTTAACTTGGTTTTATTTTGTATCTTTGTATATTTTATCAGGTCTTAGCGCTTGCGGTATGAAAGCAGGTAGCTTTGGAGTCTGGTGGAAACTCTGATACTCTAAGGCAACTTGCTTGAATGTATTAACAGTCTAGACAGTGGTTCTCAACCTGTGTGTGTGTGGCCACATATTAGATGTCCTGCATATCGGAAATGTACATTATGATTCATAATTAGTAAAATCACAGCTATGAAGTAGCAACGAAAATAATTTTATGGTTGGGAGTCACCACAACATGAGGAACTGTATTAAAGGATCACAGCATTAGGAAGGTTGAGAACCCTCTGTCTATGTTCGAGTTAAAATGAGTACATGAACAATAAGTGGGAACAATTATTGGGAAGATAGCCCATCACATTTAAAATCTTTAGCATAGACAGACGATTGACTCGGGAAACTAGTTCATTTCTTTTCAAAACATCCTTTTTGAAGGATTTGCTTCCATATAGAAAAGTTAAGCATTCAATTAGAAAATAATATGTTTTATAATGTAACTTGGAGTTGACTGCTACAGAATGTATTTGAAGGGTGGATGCAATGAAATATTTTGAGAAGCAGATAACTTTCCTTATCTATTGTACTCAAGATCAATAAATATTTGTTGAATATATGAGTGGAAAGTATTATATAAAATAATGGACTATAATATTTGAAAGGTCTCATAATTTTTAGGGCACATTTACACTTTTGTCTTAATTAGTTTAAAACCCAGTTTTAAAAAATTTTACTTGGAAAGCAATCATTTGTTTGTTGCTTCGTTTGTTTGCATAAGGCTCTGGATTCCATCTCCAACAAAGATAAGAAAATGGTGATTAGCAATAAAATATTTGAAGGCATATATTAAGAGACCCACCTAATATTCTTTCTCTGTAGTTAAGTATTTTAAATCTTAAGCTGAAGGTGGTGGGTCAATGGATGTATTTTTTAACTACACACTTACAAAAGGTCTTCATAAAAGATTTTTGTGATGTTTAGCCACACTGCAGACAGAAAAGAAAAAATTATATTTAAATACTTCCAAGTTATAATTAGACATTAAATATATTGAAAAGGTTCAATTCATATTTGATTTTATACTTCTCATATGTAACTCATTAATTTCGTACTTCATATTACTCATTATTTTTTTTCTTTCCCCCACTAGATTCTGTATACCGGAATTGTTATTTATGCCCCTGCTCTGGCTTTGAATCAAGGTACATTGAAAGTGTCAGTCATTGAGCTCACAGTGTTGGGTTCAGTTTTGCTAAGTTCTGTTGTCTCCTTGGGGGAGATACACAGATGGAAAAAGACTTCCAGTAGTCCTTATGGATTTTTGGAGGTGGTGGGGTGGTCTTAGTGTCTATAGTAGTTTCTTTGGTGTTTCGATTGGATAGTTAAAAAATATCTATCTGTAGGCTAACAGGACAGTCCTAGACCTTACTGGAGATGGCAAGGGGTAGGAGTGGTTACTTAAGTGTGGTATACTACTCACCAGCCATTCTTAGTTTCTTTACAACCTGTGCCCCTCCCTACTGTAGGATAAATAACTGTACTCCCTCTTTTTCGACTATTACCTGCCATCCCTGTATTATTTTGTTCTCTATTGATTCCATAAGCACCATGGCCAGTAGCAACTTGGGGAGGAATGGTGTTGTTTTGGCTTATAGCTCACAGTTCATATGAAGGGAAGGCAAGGCAAGAACTCAAGGCAGGAACCCGGAGGCAGGAAGTGAAGTGGAGGCCATGGAGGATTGCTGCTTCCTGACTTGCTGTCCGTGGCTTGTTCAATGTTTTTTGCTTTTCATATGAAAACCTACTTTATTATTATTTTTAAAATTTTAATTATATTTTATTGGGGATTAATTTCCATACAATCAGATGTGTTGGCTCCAATGCCAAGTTCAGTGAAAGTGGACATATGTTAACTCATGTAACCAATATCACAGCTAAGATATCACATCAATGTTTTCTCTCATGCCTCCTTAGAATTAATCCTTCCCTGACTCTAGGCAACTCTGAAGTGTTTCCCCCCCTTTATTGAAAATAGATTCTTTTCTCACATAGTAAATCCTGATTGTTTTCCCCTACATTCAATCTTCTCAATTCCTTCCTTCTTCCCCTCCCTTTCAGTACACACCCTTTCTATATATTGTTAGAAAACAATCAGGCTTATAAGAGATAATAACAAAATATAACAAAATGCCAGGCAGTGTTGGTGCATGCCTTTAATCCCAGCACTAGAGAGGCAGAGGCAGGTGGATCTGAGTTTGAGGTCTACAGAGTGAGTTCCAGGAAAGCCAGGGCTACACACAGAGAAACCCTGTCTTGAAAAATCAACTACTAACCAACTAAACAAACAAAATACAAAACACACAAAATAAAATATTATAAGATAAAACAAAAACTCTCATATGGAAGTTGGACAAGACAAACAAACAGAAGGAAAAGAGCCCAAGAGAAGGCACAAGACTCAGAGACTCATTCATTCACCCACTTAGTAATCCCATAAAAACACCAGGCTGGAAGCATAATACACACACAGAGGACCTGGTGCAGACCTGTGTATGCCCTGTACACACTGCCTCAGCCGTTGTGAGTTCATGTGAGCTTGCTCATGCTGATTCTGAGGGCCTTGTTCTCCTGGTATCCTCCATCCCTCTGGTTCTCATATCCTTTCTGCCTTCTCTTCTGTGGGGACTTCTTGATCCCTGAAAGGACAGATTTGGTTGAGACTTCCCATTTAGGGCTGAGTGTTCCAAGGTCTCTCACTCTTACCATAATGTCAGGCTGTAGGTCTCTGTATTTGTTCCTGTCTGCTACAGATAACAGTGTTGTTAGGGGTCACTTTATCAGCCAGGACTATCATAGATAAAAAGGGTTGTGGCTGACTTGGTGTTTATGTTTCTCTTTTGGTAGCATGCGGAGTATGCTCCTATACCAAAGATGCTAGAATGTAGTTGTAAAGGGCCCATGTAGGCACCAGTTCCATCTCTCCATGTTCTATGAGTTGTGTAGGTGTTGTCTTCTGCAGTAGGGCCTTGCCAGTTTGTGGAGAGCAACCTATTGTTTGGCAAAAGCTTGCATTATTGGGGATTCCCATGGGACCCCTTTGATCAACAGCTCAATTGGATGTAACCAAATTCAGGTACTGGAAGCTTCCTTTGGTGACAAGAGATGTTCATTTGGGGCTCTTTCCCCCCATAATTTGGTGGTTTCACTTAGATCACCTTAATAGATATATGTATTTTAGGAAGTTTCTACTGTTAGGTTTCTATACTACCCTCAAATGCCCCTGAACTTTAGCTGTCTCTCCATGTACTCCTTCCTCCACTCTCTCTCCCTTCTCACTCTCTACTTGCTCCTCCAATTCCAGTTCCCCTGTTCATAACTGTCTATTCTGTTTCCCTTTCCTAATGAAATCTATCTGTACCCTCTGGTCCCTTACTCTCTACCACCTATTTGTTGTTCCATGGACAGTAGCTTGGTTATTATCATCTTAATGGCAAATATCTGCATACAAGCAAACACATGCCACATTTGTCTTTCTGGATCTGGAATACCTCACTCAGTATGATTTTTTTTCTAGTTCTATCCATTTGCCTGGTAATTTCCTGATGTCATTTGTTTAAATAGTTGAGTAATACTCCACCATGTAAATGTATCACATTTTCTTTATCCATTCTTCTGTTGAGGGACATCTAGGTTGTTTATAAGTTGTGGCTATTATGAACAGAGCAGCAATGAATGTGGTTAAGCAAGTGTCCTTGTGGCAGAATGAAACATTCTGTCTTAGTAAGGGTTCGATTGCTGTGAAGAGACACCATAGCCATAGCAACTCTTGTAAAGGAAAACATTTAATTGGGGTTGACTTACAGTTTCAGAGGTTTGGCTCATTATCGCTATGGCAGGAAATATGGCAACATGCAGACAGACACGATGCTGGAGAAGGATCCAAGAGTTCTACATCTTGATCCAGAGGCAACAGAAGGAGACTGTGTGCCACAGTGGGCATAGCTTGAGGACAATGAGACCTCAAAGCCTGCCCCCACAGTGACATACTTCATCCAACAAGGCCACACCTCCTAATAGCGCTAGTTCTGATGGGCCAAGCATTAAAACACACGAGTCCCCGGGGGCCATACCTATTCAAGCAACCACACACCCTTTGGTATATGAGTAAGAGTGGTATAGCTTGAGTTGAGGTAGTCATTCTCATATTTCTTAGGAGTTTCCATAATTACTGCATAAGTTTTCAGTCCCACTAGCAAAGAATGAGTGCTCCCCTTACTCCACATCCTCTCCAGCATGTTCTGTCACTTGTTTTATTGATTTTAGCCATTTTGACAGGTATAAGATGGAATCTCAAGATAGTTTTGATTTGAATTTCCCTGGTGGCTAAGGATGTTGAACATTTCTTTGTTTCTCAGACATTTGGGTTTACCCTATTGAGAATTATCTGCTTAGATCTGTATTCCACTTTTAAATTGTATTATTTGTTTTCTTGCTTTTTTGAGTTCCTTATATATTTTGGACATTAACCATCCATCAGATGTGTAGTTGATAAAAATATTTTCCAATTCTATAGACTGCCACTTTGTCTGAATGACAGAATCTTCATGCAAAAGCCTCTCATCTTGTTGATCTTATTTTTATATAGCCTAGGACTACCTGCTGTGGGTTGTGCCCTCCCATCAACCATTAATTAAGAAATGATCCACAGACTTACCTACAGGCTCATCGGAGGTTCCCTCTTTCCAGACCATTCTAGCCCTCCCAGACGTCAAGCTTATAAAAACCTAACCAGCATAATCCCCAAGAAGTTTCTGTTTTCTGCTCAGATCCATGATAAAATCTGGTCTTTCTTCCCCTATTTCAGTAAGGTCATTTTGAAATAGGCAGTAGCTGTGTGATTTGACATATGAGGTTGCTTCTAGTGAATACTGTGTCCATTAAAAACCCAGGAAGGTACCAGTCAATAAACCACTTCTCCTCTTCAGATTTGTGTTGATAAAAGCGGTGAAACAGAGACAGCTTATTGAGGCACTTTGGGCTTAGTCACAGCTTCAAAGGGACCATAGGAAAGCTCTGTACCCTTCGAATTCATGTCAGTTAAAGTGAGTTTACCTCTAAAACTTCCTTGTAGTTTTGATGGTTACGGATGTGGTGAAATTCATGAAGTAAGTATAATGTAGAGAAAGCCTATTAACTCCATACTTCATTCTCCTGACTTTATGACAGGTGTGGTAGAAACTGTTACCCTAGTCTGTGAAATATGTCAGTATCATTACAAAGAAGAGCTCCATCATGTCATGTCCTTTTGATGCCTGCATATCAGGCATGATCCATGCCAGCATCACCAGCATCAGAAACAGGTTATTTCATATCTTAAGAACTGAGTGTTTTTTATTTAAATTAGAAACAATCTTGTTTTACATATCAATCCCAGTTCCCTCTCCCTCCCGTCCTCCCTCACTGAGATCCCCATTTCATCCCTCTTCTGCTCCCCAGGAAGGGTGAGGCTTTCCATGGGGGATCATCAAAGTCTGTCACATCATTTGGGGCAGGGCTTAGGTCCTTCCCCATGTGTTTACGCTGGGATAACATCTCTCTATGGGGAATGGGCTCCCAATGTCCATTTGTACACTAGGGATAAATGCTGTTCCACTAACAGAGGCCCCATAGATTAACCAGGCCTGCAAATTGACATCCTCGTTCAGGGGTCTGGAACAGTCCTATGCTAGTTTCCCAGCTATCAGTCTTGGGTCCATGAGCTCCCCCTTGCTCAGGTCAGCTGTTTCTGTAGGTTTCCCTAACATGGTCTTGACCCCTTTGTTCATCACTCTTCCCTCTCTGCAGCTGTATTCCAGAGTTCAGCTCAGTGTTTAGTTGTGGGCTGTGCTTCTTCTTCCATCAGCTACTGGATGAAGGCTCTAGGATGACATATAAGGTAGTCATCAATCTCATTTTGGGAAAGAGCATTTAAGGTAGCCTCCCCACTATTGCTTAGATTCTTAGTTGGAGTCGTCCTTATAGATCTCTGGACATTTCCCTAGTGCCAGATTTCCCTTTAAACCTATAATGACTACCTCTATTATGGTATCTCTTTTCTTGCTCTCCTCTATTCTTCTCCGATTCAATCTTCCTGGTCCCTCATGTCTTCCTCCCTCCTCTTCTTTTCCCCTTCTCTTTCTCACCTATTGATTTATGTGTAATT